AGATACGTGATCAAAGGAATGGTAAGATGCAGCCACAAATCTATTTGGAGAGATGTTGAATGAAAAAAGCTCAGAAATATTCCACCATATTTGTAAGCTCATAGTCAATTATAAAACGAAAGCTTTTCATTTAATGTGGTGGTGAAACCTCAGGAGATAATAATCTCAAGGTTTGGATCCCTATTTGAAGTTCATCCAGACTGTTACACCCTTAAATTTTATAAAATCTGGCTGCATATCACACAAGAACAGACTTTTTTTTTGTGAGGTTGTTTGGTACTTCCTGCCTCTGCTTCATCTGGAAATGCTGTAAGAAGAGCCTTTCTCATCATATGATATTTATAATTATTATTATTTCAGCATTTCTCATTCCAGACTGGGTGGAGGTTACAAGAATGATCATTTACTTTGAACTCTTAATTTAATATATGACTATGTATAAAGAAATTTCTTGGTTGAACCATCTGGGGCAGAAAAAAAAGGAAAATAATTTTAAAACATCTTTATTAAAATATACCACAACTTATAGTATCCTGGAACAGTGTCTCTAGGTTCCTGTCCAGGATTGCAGAGTAGCAAAAGGAGTGAGTGTCCCTGGAGTATTTATTACCTGTTTTACATCAAAGCTCATTTATGCTAGAGAGAATTTCTCCTGTATTTTCTGAATACTTAGTGGACTCAAAATAACAAAAATTAACTCATAATGTACATACCCTGCTGTACCCTTCCATCGTTATATCACTAATCACAAAGCTGATTTATGTAAAAAGCGATAGTGAAAGTGTGGTGATTGTTTTTAATTCCTGACCCATTTCATTAAGTGATGGCAACACGTCCCTGACCAGTTGTGTGCGGAGTGTCTCTGGGGTGGTCTATCCGTGAGTACTGGAGAGGTGGCAAAATTCTGTTATGGGAACTGCCAGTGGGTCTACTGGCTGCAGCAGGCAAATGCCTTTGAGTTTGTCTTCAGTAACGTGATATATGGTACTCTGCTTTTTGAGAATTGTTTGGGATTTTTTGAAAGAACAATGGTTCTTTGGGAAGTGCTCATTTGTTGAAACTCTAAATGCAACAGTCTATTTGTTTTCTTGGTCTCATGAAAATTTGGAGGAGGGAGTTGTATTTTTTGCGTGTTTATAAAGCAATCATCTCTGCAGTATTTCTATGCAGGGATTTTGAGGAAGAAAGGGCAAGAATTTATCGCGTTCCTCCCTGGGGATGTGGGAAACTCTAGATGAGGTTCAAGCCCCCACTTAGACTGAGCGGTAGGCAACTGGGTTGCCTAACCTGAGTGGTAGGCAACTGGGTACCCTGAGATACGTGAAAAGTAACACATCCAGCTGTTTGAATAGTTTGAGTGGGCACTCCATGAAGCACTGTCCCATTAAGGCAAATGTGTGCACTAGCATTTCTAGTAACTGCCTATTGTCCAGGTTCTTGGTTACAGGTAAATATATATTAATGTTTTCTTAACATATTATATATTAACATGTTTAATAACTCACAGAATAAAATTTTCCACAGTTTTTATAAATAAAAACAATTGTTATTATCTGTTTTAGTGGAAACATAAAGTGCAGGAGAAGGTGTTTATGCTCTGAAAATGGAGCATTGTTCTAGAATATTAAAAGTTGTCTTTCATGACAAATGTGTTACAGCTGAGAGATTGCTCCAAAGAGGAACTGAAGTATTTTTCATGGTCTCTGAAAGTGACTATTTTTAATAATATGCAGTATGACCAAGTAGTTGGTTCCTCAGTAAAACTTACAATGATTCTCTTGAGCCTATCAGGGGAAAGCATATCTTTATGTGAATTTTGGTGCTCAGACTGTGCCTAGGTTTT